TTTTAGATTAACAAGTTAGTTCAATCACTACTCCACCAAAGATTGCGAATTCTTTGCTACCTTTTACCATGAAATCTAGTGTTCAGATAATTCTTTGGTTTGTAAAGGAAAAAGTTGACCCAAATTAGCTTTGCTATCAATTTCTTTCATTGACTTTCTCTCTTTTCTAGAGAGAGACTTTCCCCTAGTTGGTGTTCAAAATAGTTTAATAATCTCGCAAATCCCAAAATAGCAAAGATCCAAATATCCTAAATTTCTTAAACCTATTATTTGCTTAGATTACAAGATAGATATCATTCATTCTGGTTTTGACAATCTAGAATCATTACAAATAGGATCTCTGATGTTGGGTTATGGTTAATTCTAGCAAGAGCACTGAAGAAAAAAGATGCCTAGAACCAAGCTCAAGCATCTAAAGTAACCTCCCATCTATCATTTTCAATCCATTATGTTTATTTTTTACTTGCTAATTTGTGATCTACTTGTAAGTAGTAGGTTCTCTATTTAATTATGTTGTTCATCTTTTACTTGCTATTCAGTTTTTACTTGTTGGACCATTAATTGTGCTGGTCGCTCAAATTATTTTCTCGCTTTTCCAAATTAGTTTCAGACCTACTGTTTTGTTGTGATTGTTCAATGGCTGCTCTGGTTCGGATTTGTGTGGATTGGTGTGGATTGCTCCAATCATGGAGGATCTGGAGAATTTTATGAAATGATTCACGCTCATTGAAACTGAATAGAATGGGATTTTATTAGATGAGTTGGATATTGAGAGTGATGGAAAGGAATGTAATCTTCGCCTAATTGGGAAAATAAAAGGGGAGAAAGTGGCTAATATGGCAGGAACTAAAAGCTCTGCTAATAATATGTGAAACTTCCCAAAAAATTTGGAAGAGTGGAACTACGACCAAACTTCTTTCAATTTACCTTTCAATCCTACCAAGAATTGGAAAAAGTCTTAAGAGGCAGACCTTGGATTTATGATGGATAGCCTTTAGTCCTAGTGAAGTAGAGAGAGGGGATAGAATCTGAGGAAAAAGCCTTCAATAGATCCCTGATGTGAGTTCAAATGTGGAACTTGCCAATCTATTGGATTGCTATAGAAGTAGGAAAGAAAATAGGTGGCCTCTTTAGCTTTGTTAGAGAGGTTATTGTTCTCACAAAAGAAAGTAAAGAAGAGAGGCATATTAAGATTCAAGTGAAGGTGGATTTATCCAAACCCTTTCTTAGGGAAACAACCATAAGACTTGATAGAACACTAAAGTGGATAGTATTCAAATACGAAAAGTGTCCTGACTTTTGTTACTATTATGGTAGATTGGGTCATAATGAGAAAAACTGCAATTTGAAAGGAATCAATTTAGAGAAAAACACCTAGTTAGAGGGGTGGATGAGGGTTAGCTATCCTAGAAACCCAACTAGGAAAACAAAAGGAAAGCCACCAAATACCACTATTGAAAATAAGGGGATAATATAGAGAATGCTAGAGTCCAAAAACAATTTTTGATAACATACCATGGGGAAAACTCTAGAGAATTAAACAAGTTTAGGGAAGGAAGAGTTGGCACAAAAGAAGAGATCTCAAAAACTCAAGGAGAAGGTACAAATGTCCAAAGTAGAGATAATGGTGAACCTATTCCTGTAACAGACAATGAGGCTGGCCAAATGTCAATTTTGAAGAATTTTTATCAGGATGATAGAGAGGTCAACAAGGAGAGGAATATGTATAATGTTAGTTGTGATAGTATATGGATTGGTGGTAGTATAGAGAAGAGAGGAGATTAGAAACTTGCGCTAGACCAAAACATAAAAAGAAAGGAGATTATTATGGGTAAAAACATTGAAGTGAATAGTAGATCAAGGAAAAAATAGAAGTTCAATGGAGGAATAGCATGGAAAAGACTAGTAAAAAAGGTAGGGAGTAGGAAACCATTAGATGAAATTAGCACACTACAACAAAAAAGCCCTATTATGACACATCTATAAGGACACTTTTTTGTAATTGTCACTTTAGATCCTCTATCAAGACCTTAAGAAGTGAGTGTCATAATAAAACAACATAGACCAAGTACTATTATTTTGCTTTATTTATTTTTAAATTAAAAAATACGAGGTGTCAAATTAGGATAGCTATTGTGGCATTGGGTGTAAATGTCAGCAAAAGCCACATGCTAAAAGGCAGCAGCCAATTGGTAGTAAAGTGGGGCATTGCTTCTCCCCTGATCATAGGTTTTATTCTTTTCCCACTCTTCTCTCTCAATCTCACTTGGTGCTACCTTTTTTTTTTGGCGAAAAGATAGGTTTTCCTTTTCAATCGTACAATTTTGCCATCCTTTGCTCTCTATCTTACTTCAACATCCCACCCCTCTCTCTCCTTTTGATTCTCTACTTGCAAAGGATCAAATTTTTGTGGGTTTGGCTTTTCCTCATGATATTTTCTTCATACAATGAAGACAAATTGTACAGTGTGTGCCATTTTCTTCAAATTCTTTGTAGTCATCCCAAGCCTATGATGTCTTGGTTCTTTTTGAAATCTAAAATGTGTTTTCTCCTTTGTCTCCCTCAGCAGTTTGTACATTATTTTCAGTCTCCAAAGTTCGTGTAGGTTCTTTATTCGTCAAAGGAGCATTTTTGGGTCCGAATAGTGGTCCTTCAATTGCTTGCTTTTTGTTGTCATTACTCACCACAATTGGGCTGTCCAACTGACACGGAGTAGATGAATCAGCAGTAGAGGCATAATGCTGCACGATTGAACACACTTCATGTGGACTGGTAGACATCCCTATAATAGATAGTAGTGAAGTAGATTTTAATATTCTAGACTCTTAAGTCTTTAAAGCTATCAAAAGTAACATTTTCAATGCTAATGTGATCAATTTTATGGCAACCTAAGTACCTAAGAATCAGTTACACTTTTCTTAGCTTTGTGTTGTTATTTAACACTTATCATACATTTGCCAAGCATTTTCTCAACAACTAGCCAACTAGAACAGTCAAGAAACTAAGAACTAAAGCCAATATTTGATGCCTCCATTTATAAACATATGTATGATGAGCCACATCTTTTGCCCAAGCATTTTCTCAATATTTGGTGTCACAATTTATAACCAAATGTAAACCAAGGCATTGACCATACCATTTACCACAGATAACCACTAAATCTACAACTCAAACAAGGATAGCTCCAATAGTTCATTTATCTAACAGAAATTTATTTAAAAAATAACTAACCATTAACCATCCTCAACAAATAACAACTAGCAATATTTAGTCAGCAAAAACAAAAAAGGGACACCAAGTAAAAGCAGAGCAAAATGCAACTTACCTACTCATCCTACTCTTGCAATGGATTCCAAAGCACTTGTCGAAGTGCCAAGTTCTTTTCGCATATTTCCTTGATGGTCTTCCTTGCTTTCCCTCGAGGCTCAAGCTATCAAAACCTCAATTTTAGCCGCTATAAATAATGAATTAAAAGCCCCAATTTCAGAATTTAGGGTTTGAAGGGATGGAAATTAGAGTAAATACAGTAATAAATAATCATTAATGCATAAAGATCAATAGAGCAAGGTCAGTAATAGTGAATTTCACAACTTAAGGTTTTTGCTTTCCTAATTCCTAAAATTGAAACTCTCAGCAGAATCAATTCCTTAATAGTGAATTTCACAACTTAAGGTTTGAAGCTCAAGCTCAAAGATGGATTTCAATTTTCATATGGGTAAATTTGACATCAAGATTGAGAAGGAAGCTCAGCAAGCTTTGTTTCGAGTTGTGTTGTTCGTCACTTTGTCGAGAGCTTCAATAGGAAGAAGAACTCAAATGGATTGGAAATTGATTAAACAAAGCCCTATATTTATTTCCATCTACCTAATTTTATTCTTTTTAATGGGAAATGACTATATGACCCATAAGGATATTAAAAGGCAGAGACGATATTTTGGTAATTTATACAACTCCCAAACCTAAAAGAGTTAAAATGTAATAATTAAATCTATAATTATTAATTAATTATATTATGCTCGATAAGAGTTGTTGAGTCTTCAAGTCTGAAAATTATACATTCGAACTCAAATCAATATATAAACGAGCCACTTGACTTTGACTCGCACTCAATCAAAGTCAAGTACAAATTGAACTTTTGATCACTGCTAAGAAGTAGTTTAGTTTGACAATAGCCCCAAACCTACATGAGATGAATTTGAAGAACCTAAAAGTTGAAATTGGAATTTAACCCGCAAATCCAACACATTTAACCCGAGTCTAAACCACTTTTTTTAATTGATTTCATTCGGTTGGGTAATGTCAAAATTGCTAATTTTACATTTTCACCCCTTTAATAACTCGTCATACTTCAAATTAACCCCCTTCCAACAAAATCAAACTCGCTTGGCGTGACTTTTGAGTGGGCTGTCAAGCCTACAAACTATAGACGGACTCGACTGTTGGAGCTTCGAATTCAAATTGCACGACCCCCCAAAAACCTCCCAGCCATCCTCTCCTTCTTCTCCATTTTCATTCTTCCTTAATCCTTATGTATATGCAAAAGAGAAACTCTATTCTACTTTAAATACTTTATAGGCCAACAGTTCTGTTTGAGTAAAGTTCTCCAAGTAAAAATTCAAATATGACCGATAATCAGGAATCCCATAAGCGGACCCAGCCCCCTCTCAGCCTTAATCAGCGCCACAATCGGATTCTCAGTGACCTCTCGGCGTCCCATTCGAAACCCATTTCCCAAATCCCGGGTAAAAGGAATGAATATTGATAATAAGATTTTATTTTGCATTTTTTGTACTTATTTGGTTATTTTTGTGTTTAAATCAATGGGTTATGCTTATTTGGCTGGAACTTTATCGACTGATTACTGGGGTTAATTTGTGAAAAGGGGAAGAAATTTGTGAAAACCAGTCGAATGTAAAGGTGAAGAAGAAGTTGCAAGGCAGACGCCGTCTCTGTAAAGCGTATTCAGCATCTGATGCTGCTGAAAACGAAGACGTTTTGGCTTCTCTGGAATCGCCGACTTTGATTCTCCTTCTCCTCCCCGTCCTTTTGCCGGTATTATTTATTATTTACTCTATTACGCCTGATTTTTGGTATTTTTATGTTGCTTCCTCTACTGAGTTTGTTAGCCTCTGGATGATTAGTAGAGCAATTACAACAACAAAATCAATCAAAGTTTACTGCTGAAGCAGCTGATTTTCCAAGCTTCTCTGGGATTGCGGATTTTGATTCCCCGTCTCCACTTTCTGGTGCTTTTCTCATGTCTCTTTCCCTCTGTTTTTGTATGTATATTGTGTATGTGTGAGAGAATTGTAAAAAGTGTGTATAGAGTATATGGTTTTTGCATAGAATTTTGACTGTTTGTGCTCTGATAAGTAGTGCATATTGTGTTTTGATAGTACGAGCATATGGCCTGATTCATGGAGGATCAGATATGACTTATGAGGGCCTGAAAAAGAATCGCATTTTGGGAAAGTTGTTGTCGGTGCTGTTTGAATGGAACTTTTGAGGTCATTTTAAATGGAAAAAATGATGGAATAGCATTGTTCTCTTTTACTCTCGGTTTTCATATATCTTTCTGTGTTGTGTATGAGAATGTGTAGAATCGAGTGTCTAGTGTGCATGGTTTTATTATGTTAATTGTTTTTGCTATAAAATGTAGTTCATACTGTATTTGGATAATAGGGGTGTATGACCTGATTAATCTAACATGAGATATAAAGCCTGAAAAAGGAAAAATAATTTTGGGAAAATTTTTTCTTACCATTTATAGATGGAAAATTGGGGTTCATTTTAAACAAAAAAGATGGAATTGCCTTTTTGTAGATAAAGTAAGAGCATCAAATGTTGTTCTGGACAGTCGTGAAGTTTGTGACAAGGATGGCAACGCTGATGAAACAAGATCTAGTTCTTCATATGGTGATTCTGATCTTGTTCCTCATCCACCAGGTAAAATTCTGTTTGCACTCTTTGGGTTGCGTCTCTTGGTTTTGTATGATATGCTTTTGCAATTGTTGATCTTGAAACTTGCAGTCATTGTTAACCTAATGAATTCAATTAATGCAGGAGAAGAGGGGAAACTGGTGAAAGTGAGGATTGAGGGTAGCCGGAGCCCTTGTAGAGCATCAAGAAATGATGGTTATCGTAGCAAGATGGATATTGAAATTACCAAAACAGAAGAGTCCAAAGGTTTGGGGATTTCGGATTGCGATTCTTCACCTTGGGTAAAAACTGCTCTTGAGAATAGCTATGGAGGTGGTGTGAATGAAATAAGGGATATTCTTAATGATTTAAGCTCAAGGCTTGAGATTTTATCCATTGAGAAGAAAAGGGAGCCTAGGAGGATTGACTTGAAAGATGATTCTAAGCATTTATCTAAGAGTGAAGTGAACCATGCAAAAAACAATGAAGAAATTCCTGACTATGAAAGTGCTGCTTCTTCATTTTCAACCTCGTCTGGTTCATCAGTAGCTTCTGCTAAGGAATCTGACATTGGATATTCTCATATTGATGATTTTAAAAAGAATAATGATTTTGATGATGCATCTCAGATTCGTAATTCTTATGAGAAGTTAGAAAGTGGCATGAAGATTTGTCAGCCACCTAAAAATGACATTAAGAAAGTTATAGTCAACTCTGATTCAGCTAGACGATCATTTGAGTCCACTTCAAGAGAAGAAGGGGAAAACGAGGATGATGATTGTTTTATTGTGAGTGGGAAGGATTTTAATAAGAAAGGAGTGAAGTGGCATAAGTCCAATCATCTTTATGAAGATTCTGATAATTTTGATGCATTGGAAGATCCTGCTGATGTTTTTGTTTCAGAGGAGGAGCACGTAATTACTTTGACTGGTCCAAAGTTTACCTTTAGATTACCTGGAAAAATTGGCAAAATGTTGTATCCTCATCAGCGTGATGGATTGAAGTGGCTTTGGTCTCTCCACTCTATGGGTGTTGGAGGTGTATTGGGTGATGATATGGGTTTAGGCAAGACAATGCAGGTAAAGAACTTAGGTTTTTACTTGTTTTCTATCTTTCAATAATATAATTTTGTAAGGTCCATAGTGGACTAATTTCAGGCTTCACGAAACTTCAGATTTGTGGTTTCCTAGCTGGACTCTTCCACTCAAATTTGATTAAGAGGGCCCTGGTTGTTGCTCCTAAAACACTGTTGCCCCATTGGGTCAAAGAACTTTCAACTGTGGGCCTTGCTGGAAAGACAAGAGAGTGAGTATTCTCTTTGCACTCCTTTAAAGCCTGTATGCTTGTCAAACAATCTAGTATGATGAAAATTGATCTATCATATGTCAATTTCTGTAGATATTTCGGAACTTCAGTGACTACAAGGCAATATGAGCTTCAATATGTACTACAGGTATTGTCTCTGTCCAGTCAACTTTTTTCAAAACAATTCGAGGTTTTGTGACTAATTTGTAACTGATAATTCTTGGGTTTGTGTTATTGAATAAGTTCAAGGATTCAATATCAATGTCCTTGATTTAGCATCTGATATTTACTTTTTATTTTCATGTTTTGGGCTATCTGTACAGGATAAAGGTATTCTTTTGACAACTTACGACATCGTGCGGAATAATGTAAAGTCATTAAGTGGAGATTACTATTATAATGATGAAGGAAGTGAGGATGAAATGACGTGGGACTATATAATTCTTGACGAGGTATGTTTAAGTTTCTTATTTTAAACTTTTTGTGTTCGTCGTTGATGTAACAATGCTAATGTTTACCAGTTCTCAAACATTTTTCTTATCTTTCTATTGGTGCGTGCCTGTACCCATTCTAATGTTTACCAGTTCTCAAAAATTTTCTTATCTTTTTAGCAGTTGGCACGGTTAGAAGTGAATGTCATACCTTTTTTCCTTCTCACACTCTTGATTTGTATTTCACCCTTTGCATTTTCTTTAAATTCAAAGTCTAGAGGTTTTTGTGAAGGTGAAATTTTGTCCTATTTTTTGGAATGTTAGCAGATTTTTTTGCCATAGGTTTATTAGCTGATGTTGCTCTGAGTAATTCTTTGACATGCTTGACTCTGGCTTGATTTGGCTCCTTTGGATGTTTCCTCAGATATTTTTTGACCTATTTCCCTCTATTAGTATCCCTTCCTATTTACCAAATTTGTTAAACTTTTTTGACTGATGGTGAAAATATGTTTCATTTACTAATGCCTTTTGCTGCAAATTAGTTGTCTTTCTGCATCTTTAACTTCACTGTGGACTTTGTTGGATGTTTTCATAAAGTTTGGTGGTTGTATATTTTTCACAGATTGCTTGTTGAGGATTTCATGAATGAGTCATAGTTCAAGTACTCTTTTACTTGTTGAATTCTTGTCCTTATCTTGAACGGAAGGTTTTTAAGCACCACAACTTTTTAGGGTCATCTGATAAAAAATCCCAGTACACAGAGGGCAAAAAGTCTGCTTCAGATTCCTGCAGCACATCGTATTATTATTAGTGGCACACCCCTTCAAAACAATCTCAAGGTACAAGTGATCTGCTAGCACGGTTTTGATTTTTCATCAATAGTTGAGGTATTACTTATCTAGCAAAGTATGATGAGCTAATAACTTCTTCCTGTTCCTTCTCAACTGGAATAGGAGTTGTGGGCCTTATTCAACTTTTGCTGTCCTGAGATTCTAGGTGACTATAAATGGTATGTAGCATCTTAGAATTTAATTATATTGAACTAAGCTTGTATCTCTAATCATTACTAACTTCTATTGTTTCTGCTGCCTTACTTTTTAGGTTTAGAGATAAGTATGAGAAATTAATTAACCGTGGAAATGAGAAAAATGCGTCTGATAGGGAAAAGCGCATTGGTTCAACTGTTGCAAAGGTGATTATTTATATTCTGAGACCAGAAGTTTGTTTTTGTGTCTTACATTATTTGAAATGTTGCTGAAATTCAACCTTCGATAGGATCTTCTATGTTATATATACACTGGATTTGATTTGGCCAGGCTTCTATGCTGAAGTATGTGTAAAGGTTGATTTTGGTCTGGTATCTCATAATTTTGTTGATGCTATCAATTTATGAGTGGCATTATTTGTTCATTACCTTACCCAAATTTTACTGTGCACTCTACCTGCTTAACTTGCAATATTTTGGGTGTCAACAGAGTGAGGGGTTGTACTGTTTCTTCCTCATCAAGATAATACTAGTATAGCTACTTTCCATAAAATTATTTCATTTGCTTCTCTTTGTTGAGAGCAACTAGAGCTCCTCATGATGTATCCTTGATGACATGACAGATGTTTCTTCTGTAATATTGTATGTCTTAATGTGGGATATTTTGTCCAGATCTGTAGTACATAATTTCATTTTCATTAAGAAATTCCTTGTAGATGATTCTTAATTTGTGGCAACTCGTTGCAGTGGGGACTCCAAAATAATTGCAAAATCTGATGGTCATATTATTTCTGGCCCAACATTTGGAGAAAATTCCGTCCATGAAATATATCACTTGGAGATCTGATTATTTAGAAAGAGTTTTGGTATTATTCTCTAAACAAGTTTTTCAGCCCCTTTTTTATTTTTTCAACCAACTTTCTATGTCACATCAAAAATGTGCTACAGTGAATAATGCGAAAGTGTTTTTCCAAATAATTTTCAGTTTAAGCAGACCAGGTTTTTATTTTCTTTTTCTTTAAGCTAAGTTTCTGGTTGGCTTCTAATATATAATATAGTTATGGATCCTAATGCTTGTGTTACACTTGATTTGTTGATATACTGCCATATGATCATGTGTATATCTAGTACAGTCAGATTTTACTTTCGTTGGATAAAAATGGTATCATAAATTCTATGTTCTAGAGGTTGCTTCCTTCATTTTGAGTAGACAAGGAAGAGTGAATGCAAGTAAATGCTTTGCTTTAAATGGTAGCCTTTTTACAAGAATTAGCCAGCGGGAATCTCGTGCTATCTTTTCATTTAATCTGGCTTAATAATTTGGCAAGGCAATTTGGATATCGTAAAATGTTGTAGTTCTTTTAGTATTTTATTTGTCACAATGAAGATCTAATAGTTTTTACCTGGTCTTTTCCTCTGTTTTGTACTGACTTCTTGTATTGATTTGTACCTGTGCCCACATCTCTTGGCACAGTTTTAAGTTTCTACTTCCCTCTGGACATATTTTATCCGTTTGCTCAAAATTCGTTCATTAAAACAAAGATTCATGTCCTATATTCACAGGAATTAAGAGAAAAAATTCAACCTTACTTTCTTCGCCGTTTGAAAAGTGAGGTATTCAGTGAAGATGATTCCAGCAATAGCTCCAAACTCTCTAAGAAGAATGAGATCATTGTGTGGTTAAAATTGACTAGGTGCCAGGTGAGGGTTCTTTGTTGCTATCCTGTACTAAATCTTGTCTACACTCATTCCAAAATGTATGCTTTCTGCCGATTGGAGAAAATATGAGCAATCTATATGTTTTACTGTTTTAATGAACAGCGACAAATCTATGAAGCTTTCTTGAAAAGTGAGATAGTCCTTTCAGCTTTTGATGGTTCTCCTTTGGCTGCACTCACGGTAATCTTCACTTTGAACTTTTTTCCTTTGTGGTCAGTTTGATTTCCAGGCCTCTGTTCCTATAAGAGTTTTGACATTGTGGACATTTTTTTATGGAATATAATGATATATATGTAGTCTTCACTTTGACTTACTTTTGTGAATCAGCACCACATTTAATTTGATTCCCCTCATTGGTTCTCTAAGTATAATCCTGCTGATGCAGCTATAGTGCAGTGAGGTATAAAACTGAATTTATAGTGATTAAAAAGTAGAAACAGAATAGGCAAAGTAGGGAAGCCTAGAAATCAAATCAGACCTAGTAAAACATGGTATATCTTCACTGGTTTCATACCAACATTGAAGTTGGAAGTTTGTTTCAGCCAAAATTTGCCCTTATACATTGAGCTGCATGTCCTTTATAGCAGGGATGTGGATTGTATTGGCCACTAGCTGATATTACTTACCTACAAATGATTTCCTTGGTTGCATGAGTTGACCTCATTTCAAAGAACTTATCTATCTTTTAAGTACTTGACTGAGACACTTCTAGTCATACAACTAGCTAACTACTCTAGCAAATTTGAAGCAGACTGTATAGGTACTAAATTATGGACTTAGCTAGGAAGCAGACTATTAAATAAGTGTTTGTAGTAAAAGAGCTAAAATTTAATAGAAAACTCATTTAAGGCCTCAATGTCTCCATCACTTGCTCTTTGTCTTCTTCCTGGTAATTTTTTGCTTTTATAGTTACTTAAAAGATGAACAAATGGATACTCTCTGTAAGCTTGAAGTATTTCCATATTTGAGCTTTGTGCCATTCTTCTCTTGTTTCTTTTTCTTGATCCGATTCACCATATGTGATTTGATTTAATTTGATATCTCAAGCACTTTATGTTATTTAGTTTTTTCTCATCTTGAGCCGAAGGACTCAGTTGGATTACCTCCATAGAATGAAACTTAATGGTAAGTATTCCGAGTAATGTCATCAAACCTGAACAGGATTCTCTCAGGAGCTCGTTTCTTTATCAGTCAACAAAAGATGACAATGAAGGATCAAACTGGACTAATTTGCTTGTTCTAACCAAAAGTATCCTACTTCTGACCAGATTAACAGGTGAAAACTTCATTACTTCTATCAACCAGCCTCCTCTACAGCTCACTCAGCATTAGGAGTAAACTCCAAACCCATTCCTCAGAACTACCAAAGATAATTGTTCACTTGGAAAAGTTGATACCAAATAGTGAGGTGGAAACTTAGACCTCGTTTTAATTGTGTTCATACTCAGAGGCATACATGTGAGTCCTTATTTGGCCAGTTAGACACTGGAGAGGAGTTCTGAAAAAAAAACAGCAAAAGATAGAATGAGAGAAAAAGACCCACAAATAAGCATATATCGTGCTTCTGTCAAAATTGGGACCATCTTCATTGGAGAAATGAGAGTTTGAAATTTGCAGAGACCTTCAACTTCCAATGATTATAAATTTTCTGAAGCATTCTGATAAAACATGGCCTCATTATAATTTTCTTTTCTAGGACAAGAGTGTAGAAGTATATTCAGAATACATTGTGCACATACTGTTGGCGCTGTGAACAATGCATCACCTGCTATTGTATGTAGATATGTACAGGATTTATCTAACATCTCGATGATGTCAACAAGACCAAGTTGCATTGAGCAAGACAAGAAGGATCTCATTGCCATCAAAGCCCTTCCCTTACTCCTTAGTATGGTCAATGGAAGTGGTCCTTATAATTTGCCCTCTGTGCTGGTAGCCACACAGGTTCAAGGACTTGCATATTTTTTAGAGCATGGCTGCTAAAAATACTTAAGCTAGTTATCCAACATGAACTCTATATTCATGTACGACCAATATCTAGAAAGTGGTTTTGGTTAACAAGCTACTCTACACTTTTTTTTCTTTAACTCTACAGCTTTTTATTTTGATAGAGGATAAAAAAAATTTAAACAACTTCGTTAGCGTACCAGAAATTGACTTGAGTGGTGCTTTTCTTTTTGAATAAAACCTCCAGATTTTGGGTGAAAAAGGCGTATTAAGAGCTTATTGCTTATGTTATTATACTAAAGGATATTTTTCATTTGTGAATTTGGTTTTTCCTCATTCTTTTGGAATCTGCTAGTAGAAGTATCCTTGTTAAATTTTGGGATCAACAATTGGACCATGGAAATGAGAAATATTTTTTCTTGGGTAAAGGAACAGAAGGAAAGTCTACCTTGACATGGTGGAAGACATGAAATTTAGATCTACAAATTAATTATGACAATGAATGTAGGCAACAGTTCAAAATCCTGGTACTTGGATGGAATTTTAAAAGTAACCTCTGTAACCAGATCCTGAATTTGAAGAGAAGTTGTCAATCTGTCATCAACATGAAAACCTAACTGTTGAAACATCTAGTGAAAGCTCCTGCCTTGCGAGGCTAATTTTAGTCATCCTAATTTTGTTGTTAAAAGAAGCAATTTTTCAACTCATAACTGATTAATGATTAGCATATTTTGCTTTCTGTCCGTCCATCTGTCTCTCTCTCATGCTTATTCTGTCTTCCAATGAAGAAGAAGAGTACACCAGTAATTCAAAATTTTCTAACTATTGTTGACTCGCTAACCTTAGTCCCTTTCATGCTATAGTCGGGGTATTTCCTGTTAAGTAAGAAACAATATCTCAGAGCTTCCTTCACTGTTCAAAGTAGTGATACCACATATTTTTCCTTGTTCCAATTTTTTGGGTTTGTCATTGTTAATGCTTTTCTTCTTTTTACGTTTGACAGCACAGTTTACTAAACCATAGCTTTCTTCCTCAATGTTATGCAGCTGTTTTATGCTATATTATATATTCCAATTTTCGTTTCACAAGTTCTTATAGGCTGACATTGTTCACGACTGTGCTTACCTGAATGCAGATCTTGAAAAAAATATGTGACCATCCACGTCTCTTGACAAAAAGAGCTGCTGAGGATGTGTTGGAAGGCATGGATTCAATGCTAGACCAGCAAGATCATGATGTGGCTGAGAAACTGGCAATGCATATAGCAGATGTTGATAAAATGTTTGACTTTGAGGAGAAGCATGATATTTCCTGCAAGACATCATTTATATTGTCTTTGCTGGTTAGGATACCATGTCATAATCAATTAAGATATTGCTCCATCTAGTTAGGAAAATCTAGCTTAAGATACAGTAAAAGATCACTTTCATTTGAAACAAACCTCCAGGCTCCAGCTGCCTCTGACATGGAGGTCTTTTTGTAAATTGCTTTATCTATTACTTTACTTTCTTGTAGGATGATTTGATTCCAAAGGGACATCACGTGCTTATATTTTCACAGACACGAAAAATGTTAAATCTAATTCAGGTTCGTCACAAATTTATTGCTTGATTTTTGCCTGTGACGTGTTAAACAGAAACCTCATTGTAATTGTTGGTCTCCACTATGTTATGCATCTGCGGCTGTTGGCGTGGAATCATGATACCTTTTTTACTGAATATTCTGGAATTCTCCTTTGTACCAAACATGTTTTCTTGCTGACATTTCAAAAGACTTATCGTCACCAGAAGTTTTTTGTTACTTGATATTTTATGCATTTCACTTTGTTACTTGGTAATTAAACAAATTGTTGTTTCTTCTTTGTATTCAGGAATCTCTCATATCCAATGGTTATGAATTCACGCGGATTGATGGCACAACTAAAGCCTGTGATAGATTGAAGATTGTTAATGTGGGTAGCTTGCTGTTGCTGATATTGATCTTCATATGCTGTGAAATGTCAACTTGAATAGCATTTTGCTGTTACAGGATTTCCAAGAGGGTCGTGGGGCACCTATTTTTCTTTTGACTTCCCAAGTTGGTGGTCTAGGTCTTACACTCACGAAAGCAGATCGTGTGATTGTGGTTGACCCAGCATGGAACCCAAGGTGTGTGTTTGAATTTCTTTCCTTGTATAGGTTTCTTCAGCTGTTGAATCAGCAATTGATTCTTTGATGGTAGGAATCTTTTGAAAGATCTTAGTAGTTATTATTCTTTTCACTGTACATTGTCCTTGTGAGAACGAGATACCTAGCTCCAATTGCTGGCGATATGACATATACATTAGAAGTTCTTGTTCTTGACATCTTCATTTTATGCATTAGAGATTAGTGGATACTTTATCTCCATTTTTCTAGCCCTTTGCTTTAGCTTGGAAAAAATTTTCACACAAGCACTGTGGCAGCAACAAGAGGTTTTCTCAGCTGAAGACGTCTTGCAAGCTCTGGAAATAGTCTCTACTATACCTCCCACAAATGGGAAAAAAAGCCACTGTGTTTAGCTGTGAAGTTTTTGTAATTGATGCTTTGAATTGTGCACCTTAATCGTTCTATGACTTCTTTGTGTCAATGTCTCCCATGTTGGAGAGTTTGATCTTTCATCTGAAAGTAGGTAGTTGTGCTTTTTGAAGTTAATCAAAAGTGCTTGTTGAATTGCCAGTATTTTAATCTTGAGAAACTAGCTTATGTATGGAGCACAATTAAACTTTAGGGTTGATAACAAATGTCTGTAATTTCTGGAATTAGCTTCTAATGCTATCATTTGGAATGCATTTGTGGAATGTAAATGGACAAATTTTAATCTCCATTTTACCACTCATTCTTGGAATTCTACATTGACCTCATTATATATTCTTGAGATTCTTCTGTTATATGATTTGATACATAATTCCTTCACATTCATTGTTAGGTTACTCCCCACTATGATGGTTGGCCAACTTATTTAACATATTCTTGTTAAAAAGGCAGGTAGCACAAAATTATAGCTAGCTCAAATGATATTTTTTGCAAGTACTTGACTGATTCTGCTCCTGCAATTTTTGCTGCCCCTTTTTACCTTCAACGTGTGCCTACTGCTCTGTTATTCAGTTTTTCTAAAGCCATATCCATCCTCTAACTTAGCTACAGATCTGTGCCTGAATCTGCCATTTTAAATTTGCCTTTTGTGTGCTAAATGTTTGTTGTCTAAGGCAGTGATTGTTATTATTGTTTTTGCTGGCTTTTGGACTTTGGCAGCACTGATAATCAGAGTGTTGATCGTGCATATCGTATTGGACAAATGAAGGACGTGATTGTGTATCGATTGATGACTTGTAGCACCGTCGAAGAGAAAATTTATAGACTGCAGGTAATAAAGGTTTCTAAATTGTGCAGTTACTTCAGTACTGGGGACTCTGGATATCTACACTTTTGTCTTTGCCTCACCATCCAAACCAAAATTAATGAATTCTTGAGAGCTCTAAAATCTTAACATATTTCTCATCACAAGAGCATGTTACGTTTGCAACCAAGTGCTATTGAATTTCAGAAAAACCCTAATGATTTCTATTGGAACAATATAGACTCGCTTAAAGGTTGGCTTGCACAGTTTGTATCTTGTTAAGCCCCCAGGTTTATCTGGTCAATCCTTGTGCTTGGTGTTAATCATTGTTTGTTGTTGAAATGCTGAGCATGTTTCTCTCAAATGCTTTTATGTGCTGCTGTTATTATTATTATTTGAGTGTATGCTACAGATATTCAAGGGAGGACTTTTTAGGACAGCTACAGAGCACAAAGAGCAAATGCGATATTTCAGTAAACAAGTAATTCCAAATCTTGATAAGATTGGTTATTCTTGTCAAGTAAAAGAGTACCATTATATTCCTAATTGTTGGTAACTCTTTAGCTTTGGTATCATATCTGGATTACTTTCAGGATCTTCAAGAGCTGTTTAGTCTACCAAACAAGGTTTTGACATATCTGTTACTCGCAGCAGTTGCTTGAACAGCACGGTCAGCAACAAATGATGTATGTATTTGTTTTTCTCAAATCAGACTGATTTGTGAAGTTTTCATTGCCCTTTACACAATGTGCTTTTGTTTTTAATTTTGTCACTTCAATTTTGGATTACTAGTAGAAATGCTATTCTCACAGTTCAATGTCCATGGTATCTACACCTGTAACTTACAAGAGGATTTTTTTTCTTCCTTTGGAATTGTTCTTTTCTATTCCATTCCTATTCTATTTCTTCATTGAAAGGAACATAACATGCAAAGGAAAGCTCATAATTTCTCACAATTTCATGTTTCTTTATTCTTTCTTTGTTCCCTTTTTACTATATCATAACAACCTTTTTTGTGGATTGTTCTTAATTTAGGGAGGACTCTTTAAAAGCCCATATTAAGTTCCTCGAAGGTTTGGATATAGCTGGAGTTAGTCAGCACAGTTTACTCTTCTCAAAGGCTGAGCCTGAACCAGTTGCTCAGGAGGAGGAGGTGCCAAGGTATGCTGCCGTTTTCTTCTATAGTAGCCAAGTTGAATCAAGAATGGCTCACTGCAATTTTGTGCCAATTTTAGCAAAATAGCAAGTTCTACTGCTTTGTGCCACATTTTGTTGCCTAAGAAAATTCTGAGATAGTTCTTGCTTTTCTTTCTGGTGTTCATACTGCAATTTCATGATGCGAAAGATGAATGCACTTTTTACAATTCATGATTAGACAGAATATTTTATGTATGAAAGTTCTAATGTTAAATTTGTGGGCAAAGGGTGAGGGGCGCTACATTCAGGGCAAACTCTTCCTCGCGCTTGTCTAATGAAGAAGCTCATAGGTATGCTTTTGGGCTCCTATCATGCTTTCTATAACAAAGTTTGCTCTGTACTCTCAATTGTAACTTGTATGATTTATTTATTTTTCTGCAGTGCACAATATGCCTTCAACCCTAAAGATGTGAAGCTGCTGCAGAAGAACTCTTCTCCTAGTGCAAGTGAACCTACGGAGGCTGAAATCACTGAGAAAATCAACCGGCTATCTCAGATTCTTGGCAATAAGGTACATTAATTTTGGAGAGTTGCTGAAGTATGAACATGAAAGCTTGGCCTGTTACATTTGTACAAGATTAATTGACTTGCTGTTAAAGCACTAATTAGCTGCTTTTGCTACTTTTCCCCCTTCACTGCATAGAACTTGCACTGAAGGTACACACTAGTGCATTGCAGCAAAAGTGTTTTCCCTTGATACAGAAACCAGAGAGGTTACACCCTTCTATCATATAGTTCCTAGGCAGGCCTGAGAATAGTTTGCTGAAGTTCTGAACCTATATTCATGTCCCTGTTGGGGTGAGTTAGGAAGTCACATCCACTGCATTTTCTTAGCAGATTGAAGTTTTGTC